TACTTGAAGGACGAAGTTGAATCAAATATCGTGTACTATCAGAGTGAATAATACAGTCCTTATTCAAAACGACTCAGTATAAGGCTCACTAACGTTAGCGCTAGAAGAGTTCGTCAGAAGGAGTAGAGTTTAACTGAGCAACGAGATGCATTGACTATACTATTTTCCAGGTAGCGAGGATTGATGGATGGGAAAAAATATATTGTAACGGAGATAACATGCGAATGTAAGGGAAACAGACTAAATTAAAATGTATTCTATGTTCAATTTTACATGTTGTATGCAACTAACTCCCGCTGAAGAAAAGTCGGCTCTACGGGCGTAGCACTACATCGTAAACCATACATTCGAATATTTCTGTAATGTGATCGTAAATAGGATTACTAGCAATGTCTACAGCATCGTTTGACCAGTTTATTTGTGTTGACCTCCTTTGCATTGGCAAATTTAAAGGAAATCTGCAAGATAGTAAGCTTCCTTTGAGAAGCCTTGGGGAATCACTTAGACGAATTTGCCTTTTGTGGATATCTTTGATTCCTGGATAGAACCGGACCGTGGTTAATATTCGTCAAGTCGCGAAAGCCTCTTCATATACTTTAAGCATTTTAAAGATCATGAAATTTTTAACCAAAGATTGGCATTACCAACTGGTTACCAAGCCCTGTAGTATACTAATAACAGCATTGGTCAGTTTATTGTCTACACACCTTTGAGTTGTGTGAAACGTCTCATTTCTCCCATATGCTTTTGGCGTCAACCGCGAAATACGTTACCTTCCTGCCTCACCCTTACACCTGAAATTACCACGCGTCATTATTTTGTTTATGTGTGCTTTTTGCCCCTGCATGATTTTGAACTGATGTTCATCCGCTGCAGTTTGTGTAACCTATGTGGAGCCCTCGGATTTCCCGGTGTCGCTGCTTTGCACGACTTTCCGTCCCGAAGTTGTATTTCTCACCCTCTTGTCGATCGTACCCCATAGGACGGCGTGCCTTATAACTGGGTACTAGTTGTGGATTACCAACCCAGATTTTGCTATCGCCTGAACTGAAGGAGCCCTTTTTAGCAAACCACACGATCACTGAATACCATTCTGGCACATAGGGATAAATGGTTGGCAAACTACAATACACACACCTTCGAGTTCCACAATTATCAGTTAGAGACTAGGGATTTAAGGAGCCAAAGGTAGTCTTGCACAAGAGATGCGATCACATGACCAACCGTTAGTGTATCCGCAATCTGGAGGTGCATCAACAAGTATGGGCTTGGTGATCATCCAACATATTCTACATAGAGGATCATACCTGGTGTAGATTGTCACAATGTGTGCTTTGTTTTGAACATTACATTTTCAGTTTACAAAAGATAACTTTCAAACGTACTGCTTCAATTTAGCTTATATACGCCTGGTCACTGAATGCATCGTGATGAACGTTGAGCATTAAAGTCCTAAAGATTTTGTGCTTAATACTAGTGATGAAATTATAAGCAATTATGTTCGCTTCTTCAACCTGACGAAAATTGCGGCTCTTGTATATAAGTGACGGACGGAACAGTTGAATACCTATTAATTGTAAGACGTTCGGTAGCCTCCGTGGAAATAAAACTCACGCATGGACGCAACTAGCTCTTTCGTACAGCGTATACTCTATCAGCTAAGCTACAAGGCCAAATTGATAGAGTTCATTTTTTTCACACTGGGATCACTAAACATTTCACAATTCAAAAGACATAACGATAATTCAGTCCGTCAAAAACAACCCATAAAATCCAAACAATTAGACGTTTCTTCGTGTTTGCATGTTGACCAATCTGAGTGATTTGTTTGCACACACACACACACACGCTGCTGAGCTGCAATCTTGAATGTTCAGGGTACGTTGTGATCATTTGAAAACAAAAATGAAACTCGCAATATGACCAAACAATATGAATAATTGGTAGTTTTTCCATCAACTCCAACCAGGATTTCGGTCGCTGTTGGTAATAGCACTCGACTGATTTAGTTGGGAGTGAGTCAAACCAAACAGTAATGTTTCGGATCAAAATCGCGCACTCAGCGCAATAGTCCATCAGGATACTGTCATTGAATATATTATATTTATCCACTTAGAATCGGAGAGACATGGAAAACGTTTTCTTTAATATGATCTATTCTCAAAATGTTGTGCTTTATGCTTGGGAGTTGTATGACTGAAATAATTTTACCAATATGGTTTATAAAAGACAGTGTAAACTCACTGATATTGCTTATAAGTTTGTAATCCCTGGCAAGTTTCAGATGATTTATTAGATATGCAGTGTACTTAGGTTTACGCATTGTTTATCTCGGTCAAATAACAAGGCCCGTTTGTCGAATTAGCATTAAAAGATACGATTCAGTTTTCAGATTTTGACATCCCGTTTTGGTATCCATGACGTATGTGCTATCATACCAATAATTTCACAGGTTTTGCAAACTCTTTTACGGATGAAACCTCAATGATAGAACCACATACTATTCTATGACTGAACGCGGTATTCATCGCCTGTGAGGGTGGCACGCTATAAGAAACATTGGTGGGCAGTTGGGATGCGGTTCCTTCTTGCGCAGTTTCCCGATTTCTGTCCAAATTATACAATCTGTTCTTTCGATCAGGATAACAACCCGGTTCAGAACACACTGATTGTTATCAGATGGCTGTTAACCAATCGTTCCACAACAAACCGGTAGTTTTGACAGCACCATGGCTCTAAAATCTGATAAGGCTGTTTCCGGCGAGCAGCATTCATGTTCAACGAGGTGTATGTGATTCAGTTTTTGCGATATCCTATTTCACCTCAAACATGATGCGCTTATCAAGGAAATCCCGTGATCCGTCACTTAAATACTCATATGCCTACCCATGTTGTTTCCTTCAATATCGTTTGTAGAATAAGTGGACGGTTCAGTCACATTTAGCACAATTCACGGAAAAAGATATAGGAAAATAAATTACCGAAACAATGTGGCTCAGAGTGTACCTTCCAATCGGTTATCATTTCCCGTCACAAATAAATCGACAGTGGTTGTTGCATTTTCCCAAAAACGTAAATGAGGCGGGGATTTCGAGTCGATTTGTTTGGTGGTAACTATTCGCGGAAAACATAGCTATTACATAATAGTTGAATGTTGAACTACGATTGAAGGTTGACTGACGTAAGGGAAAATGCAAGATTCATCCAAATTATGAAGTTGACGTCACTTGAGAAACAAACTTCATTTGCATAGACTATTTGTGTGAGTATAGGCATTTTATCTTTCGACTACTTTTATTCGATTTGCCTGCTTCCGCAAGCAAACGAAATGACTCATGAAAGAGAACAGGAATCAACAAGTGCATGTTTAACTTCTACAAAGAAAGTCATATGTATTAGACTCACTCAAACATTTCCGAATGATCTTGTGCCTGCCTTTCCTGGCGTCGTTTCCTCATTTCTTCTACAAGAACCGTTGATCCAGGAACCATTGTATTGTACACGAGTATAACCAAGTTCCAGTTGTAAGCGTGCATAAAATCGACCAATGCGTGACTTACGTGCCACGTCAATGGTTCTAAGCGGATAGCCAACTGCGATTCATCCAGCTATAGAACCAATGGAATATGGATATCAATTAAATCCATTATTGGATTAGGATTTTGGGGAATATTTCGGGAGAAAAATAGAGTTTCTTGCGAGATGAACAGAAAATGTAAATATTCAAATGAATAAACGAACCGATTTGGGAGTTAATACAGAAGAAACCACAAATGTGGCTTTATTGTGTTTCAAATAACCTCACTAATGAAAGAAATTTTAGGTCAGATTTATATTAAGGAAAATTGGTGTTTGGTGAATATTGAAAACATGGAGGGGAAACACATTCATGGAATGTTCGCTATTCGGATCGGGGTAAAACGTATTAGTTCTCCAATTTATTCCCTGTAATATGATGATGTTTTTTAATTCTGCCCAGACACCACAAGGATTCACACATTACCAATTTTGGTGGAACAAAAGCACGTGAGATTAGGAAACAAACATTTTGATATTCAATACTTTTGAAATATACATTAATCCGGTTCCGGTGGATTCACTAACCTCAGCGCAATATATGACTATTATTAGGCTCTTTCTCATCTGTAGGGCTAAGGGTGGCCAAATGATCCGCACCCCAACCATGCGTATATTGCCACAGAAAGTTTGGGGCAGAATGCTCTCTTCTAAGTGACTTTCAGCCTTGATAACTGCTCCTGTCTTATTTCACTTTGGATACAGCTAATTTGAGTACTTATATCATTAAAACTACGTGACATATTTGAGCACATAAAAGTGTGACCTTATGGTTCAACTGGGGATCAGTCCCAACAGAAAGAAATGATGCAAAACGGAATATATCGAGAGAAAACTGTGCAAGCGAAACTTGGAGAGCCGAATGAGGGAAAATATGTATTTCAGAGGTATGTCAATCAAATGTATAAGAAATTCACGAAAAACTCTAAAAATGTGCAAAGAAATGGCCATCATATATTGCTACTTTCGCATATTTAATGGCAATGTGCAAGTTTCAGCAGGTAAGGGTTGAAACGTATTTTCCACTTCCTTAAAATTCTCTTCTTTACGATAAGAGTAGCAATTAGGTTGAGAAAAATATTACCAGAATTTTATTTTCTGTTTCTTTTTGGATGCGTAAATATAAAACGGTATGAGGAATAAAATGAATAACGCTATGGATATTCTGAAAGAAAAGAGGTACAGAACTGCACACGTGGTTTGATGTACGCATATATAGAACCTAACCAAGGAGCATCACATCAGTTCCTTTATGGTTCGTGCGTTAGAATGTGTCATAAATCGCATTGATACACCCTTTTTTATTATTATGTGAAATCATCTATTTTTATGGAGTCTCAACTTCTACGAGTCACAATCTTTTAAATTATTTGTTTATATTCATTAACTACCGTCGCATCGATTTCCTGTGATCAGTTTTCGTGATTAACCCTATGAACCGATTGTGCTTATGATATAATGAATGAATTATACAATAGGTTTCAGAAAAATAAAGCTATTTTTGGACTTTGCATCATATTGTTCTCGAAGTTTTTTTCAATCATTAATTACTCGTTGTTACAAGTAAAACATGCAATTACATACTAGGAGCTGTTTGTGGACCAGATGAACGGTGTTTGCTCAGCTGCTTCATCTCGGCACAAATGTTCAGTTGGAACAAGGTGTACCTCAAACTGTGTTGCATAGTGTTTGAAAGATTGAACGTTCTGTACCTTTGCTAGTGTTTGATATTTGACGAAACTACAAAACTACTTCTCCCCTTGTTCAGTTTCACAATCACTTTTTTTAAATTTCCCCTCTTAAACGCAGTCACGCAACGCACAATGCTCTGTCTATGACGTTTTGTGAAAATCTCCAGTTGGTTTTGAAATCGCTCAGCAGATAATCACTTAAGAACCGCCTGTTTTAACCGCAGTTATCTAAATAACCGTAGGTTGTACACCTACTATGTATCTAAACTGAATTCAACTAGCTTTAATTCAACGACTTCCGAAATAAAATGATATCCTTTGTCTTTGGTATTGTTATCATTGCTAATCATTTGATCATCTTTAATGACGTTCGTGAAAGTGAGTATTTCCTCTCATGTTTTGTATATTCCGTTACATAGGCTAATAATGACAACTAGTTAACGATTTTCTTTTTCGATTGAACTATAAATTCAAATACCTCTTTTAAAATACTTTGCTACGCAAATGAAATGTGCAGCTGAAGTTAGAAGCATCAAACTGAAAGTTGAGTCGATTTCGTGTTAAATAAGAGTTATATATGTATATCTTAGATTGCGTTGTTTCGTTGATATACCTTTGTAATCCGCAGATGAGTAAGATTCAATAGAATTGGTCCGAAACATGGTTCACGGTGTGATTTGCGAGTCATTAGAACTCAGTATCGACCTCGGTACAATAAGTATGCTTTCCTATACACTGACTCCATAGGAATCACACACAAGAGCTTGTTCCGCATCCAAAGACCGATAGTTTGTTGGGTCTCTGAATGTTTATTGTTATGTCAATGTTTAAAGATCTTAAACCAAGTTTGAACACCTATTCTCAGCACAAACACAGAGCTTCTGAACTTTTTACTCAAAGGGGGACCAGTGCAGTGGGATGCAATGACACCTCAGATTGTTGTGCATTTCCAGTTCGACCGAGTAAACTACGCTGTAATAATAAAACATCGTATGTGGTTTTGTTTCTGTGGCGGGTAATCCAGAAAGTTGCTTTAAATCAGTTAATTGGCTTTACTACTTCCATTTCGTGTCACTCCTGATGTGTCACCGTTCAGTATCACAATGAGTAAAGAACGGATAATTCTGTAGAAACGTTTGCCAAATTCTGATGTTTGCAAAACTTAATTCCAATAATAATGTTTAAATTTTTATTGTGGTTTATTGAAAATTTCCTTCTCAACAGAATATCAACGGAAGCATCTATAAACTGGGCAAAAACTGAACCATGATATAACAGACTAAGTATTTCATGCAAATTCATTTACTTCAGATTCTGCGTATTTTCAGTTGGTTGTGAGGATGTGCCTACATTCTGGGGAGTTACCATAATACACTATGCACTGGTAACGGCTATCAATATAGGGAACGTAATGGGACTGTTTTTCATAGGGCAAATGAGCAAAGCTTTATGATATATGGGGTTGTTTATACATGTACAGAACGCACAAGCTCTCATAATACGAAACCAAAACATGAAGAAAGGGACGGAGATAACTTAGTTTTCATCTCACATGAAGGGATTGCGTGAAATGTCGATTCGAAAGAATGGAACAATGGACTGATACTAGTGGTTGTCAACTATTCAGTTTACGAATAAGTGTTTTTGCCTGCTATCTCTTGGTTTGTCTTTCGAGACGCAACTTCAGCAATGCTCAGAATTCCTGAACAGCTGCCCGCGCACTTTGCTAATTATTGTGCACGTGTGCACGTGTTAATACTGTACGTAATTAAACAATTATTACAGGAAACCAGATCATTGCTTAAACCCAACAAAGCGACTTATCAGTGATCGAGTCATTGATTTTGCCCTACCGGGTGAGGCAAACAAATTTATAGTAATTCGTTCCATAACAGGGTTGTACGATTTGCCCAGGGACTTATTATATTTTTAATATTTCAAGTCGCTATATATGACCAATATGTAGTGTAGTGGTAGCAAGACAGATTATCTTAAAGTAAACTCAATTTGATTCGACACATCAATATCTTAAAAATGATAGTTATTTACGCATAGTAAAATATATAATGTTTCTCTCTCAAGTAAACATCCAGTGCAATCAATACAGCACGCACGCAATGTTCAGTAAGTTGCCTCCTATCCCCATCACATTTGTCTTGCTTTTGTCAGCTACTTCCCACCAAAGCAGATAAACCAGGTCGACGGGTCTCTCTTTTCGTTGTTGGGTAATACGATCGGTCAAACCCAATGTTCAAGACATTTTCGCCCCGGAATCGAGCTGCGCATCATTGCCAGGCCTGGCTGGCATGCAACCGCCGTACATCGCCAACAGCTGTTCATCAGTGGCCAGAAAGTGAACTTTCCTAGTTCACATACCATTTAAGGTTCTCAGTTCGTATTCGGTCGGTAGGTATATATGGTGGGAAATAGACTGATGACCTGGACAGTTGATTCGGATAGACTGGCTATTGGGAAAGGTCTACTACAAAACGAGGGATGTTGTACTTAAATCCAACTGCAGATGGATCATATGCGGGTTTGTGCGTCTGTATGTGGTTTCAGGAAACGTAAGTTAAGTTTTTTTCTTGACCGATAACTATGGTGAATCTTGACTACATTTTGACCGCAAGTTGTTGTGTATTTTTTCCCGATGTGCGCCAACACACTATTTTCCGCTAGGCTATTGTAAATAGAATACACAGTTAGACTGGGTTAACTGAAATGGACTTGATTTAGATGAATCCTAATGCGCCAGCAACTACAATTCGTATGGATGAAGTAATCCATGACAACGTGGTTCACCAATATGATGAAGTTTCGCGTCGCTTATCTGCGTCGTATAATACGGTTTTATGAAAATAAATACTTTTTCTCAGAGCTACACTCATCTGTAGCGACTGGGAAAACAAATATTTCAGTGTTGAAATGAAGTTGATTAGTGGGGCATGCTTAATGAACGAGATTCGTACCATCAACACTACTGAAGTGATGACTTTACCTACCTTCTATGCAACCATTATTGAAATAGACATGTTACACGTTCCATGAGAGTAAACCTATACGTTACTAGAATCACTTTGAAGAGGAATGTAACAATCGAGAAACGCCAATTGAGAACCGTTTACTTGTCAAGGCTTTCAAGTCTTTCAGTGAAGATCAAATCCAACTCTATAAATTCGATCTGCATGAGTGCACTACACCCAACGACAAATAATATTCACTTATCTTCCAAGTACACTTGGTTGTAATCACACTTCCCTTTCATTACGTTATTGGTTATTGATTGCACTACACTGTATTTAGCAGAGCACACAATTAATTTACTTGCATCTGTTCAGCAGACAACAATCTATCCCCACATATAATTTAAGATATGAAATGTGATAACAAATGTCAAATAGGCTAGCTCATAAATACTCACCAGAGAAAACTCTGGGGCTTCTTATTTAGAAGACTACAAAATACATCACAAATGAATGTAACTCAAAAATACCATTCAGGGCGTTTTCACAAATCAATATGATGCAAACTAAGTTTAGCATAAACTTGCCAAGTCTCTTGTGTATGAAAGTCGAAAATGTAGGTCTCTTTTATCGTGTGTATATCGAACCTAGGAACTGTCAGCCATGTAGATCAATATTGGATTAATTCTCTGCCTCGGTAATAATTTCGTAGCGAGAGTTAACTAGCTAAACTGCTAGATGACTGCAAGTACTGGTGGGCGAGAACTATCCACAAAAAATATTCTTCCCTGCAACTCCTGAGTTTGAGCAATTACTGACAAATTCGGGTAGCACTGAAATTGAGTGTTACTCTCGTTGGCTTTTGTTAGTATTGCTTTTCAGCTATCTTATCGGAGCTTTTTTCTCCGGATCCGCCTGATAAAACGCTTATGCAAAACATCGGTGCCGCCCGGTTCTAACTCCCGGGGCTGACCAGATTATGGAGGAAGTATTGTTTAAGTGTCGCATTTGACGTATTCAGTTAGTTATCGGCCAAATTGTTCCAACCAGAGAAACAACGGGCACCGTGTTAGCCCAACCAGAGTCACTACCTTCCACCTAGACAGATACTTCCTTTAGAATCACGTACTTATGTGAAGTGGATTTACTGGGTCGAATTCAGTTTTATTTTTCATCTTACAATCACTTGCTAGTAATTTCTAAGCTCTGACAAGAGCCAAACTCGACTATACTTCTTCTTGAACGCTTGATTAGCCTACTGAAAACTGAGAATGATCATTGAGGCTGATTGGTAGTCATTCTCAATGAAAAACAGTTACACTGTATTTAAAATTATCTGTGAATCAACAATATGTACTAGCTGTGTATTTTAAACCAAAAGATAATCTGACCAATGAAACTGATACCTACAGTTCACACAATGTCCCCATTATTTCCTTTTTCGTGTAGTTAAACATGAGTTCTGATATTTTTGCTTAGTGACCACGCGCAAAACGTATTTCAGTATCAAATTTTGCAGGGAAAGCAACTATCTCCGATCATTTTTCTATTCTGGAGGCAGACGTGTCCAAATGAAGCACCCTTTCATTTACATTCTTCATGGTACCAAGTAAGTGGGGGTACTTATTCATATCGATTCCATATATTTGTCCGATAATTTGCAAATTAGACCAGTGATGGTCTCAGCAAAGACGACTAGGCTATGCATAGCAGCGAGTGAGCGACTGGGTCTTGTATTCTACCTCCTGCATCTATACGGATGATCTGCATGATTCGCATTTAGAGCTGCTAGTACTATCATGTGGTGATGTATTACACACAAGACATCTACACACAGACCTCTCTCTTCTGAGGTAGGTACCAAAATAGACAACGTATCTGGTTAATTAACGCGAACTGTCTAGACACAGTAACTAGGGAATGCTGAACATCAAGTTAAATACCTGTAAAACAAGGTATACATTGGATTCGGAGTATAAAGTCATTTTCAACGACAAATTATTATTTGAAAGCTGACTTCCATCTACCAAGTTCAAGGCAGCATTTTTGCATGGCTTACTTCCACAAACGAGTCTCAGACTGGCCCCATTCGAACTGTAAATCAAAAAAGCTCATTGCCCTCGCCAATATCGGAGAACATGGATTCTGTTATACACAGTTGAGGCATCAGTTGATATGCTCAAATGTGTAATACTGTTCTTCTTTTAGGATGAGCACTTTTGCACTAGTTTATCTTTAGTATGCTAGCACCGAATGTAACGCAGAAGGTTATAAGTAGCCAAACGATCAGAAGAAAAATTATTATTCTCTTTGGAATACTGTAGACGACGGACACTATAGACGTATGTTGATTAGAATTCATCAAACGTGTTCACGGAATACGGCCAATATACTTCATACTGTATCCGTTCACCCATATCTAGACAAGCATGTCGACAACAGCGTTGCTTTCGATCACCAGTCCAAAGGCAAATGCATAACCTTTTAATCCTTTGACAAAAGATGACACTATTTGGAGAGAAAGCACCTTCTGGAAGATATTCGTTATTATTATTCATCGTTGATTTTGTAATATCCTAGTATAACCTATGCATTAATTTTTTTATTCCCAAACAACTGATTATACGATCAAATACGGATAAGACAAATATGAAACCGTATACAACTCACTTCAAACTGTCCAACGCGGTTGGGCAACCATGTGATGCTAGGTATTCCCAAAGCCGATGAAATTTGGAAGAATAATCGATGCAGTCGATCGTGTAATGGCCTATCAATCAAGGCACCCATATCATTCACAACAAAGAAGGTGTTTGCGATGTGACTGTGCGTGCTGGANTGGAACCGTCGAATTCTTTGCACACTTGACGTTGCATGACAAACGGATTGTATGTGGTAATCGTGTGTTCCGTATATTGGGGATCGAGCAGCAAGTGTTGAAACGGTTTCATCAACTGGCGCAAATGCTGTGCCGCACTAGTTTTCCCATCTCGTCGGGAACTTTTCACATCAAATACAAATCCCTGTATTTTGACTCGAACCAAGTCAAGGGATGGAGCTTCTCTTCTACTACGAACTACGTAATTGGTGATATTTACACCTGAATGAGTTGAATTTGTCTTGTTCATGCGTAATAATACTTGTGTAATAAAGTCCATGGAATGTATCTGGAAATCGATTGAATGTAAAGAGGCAAACTTTGCGCTCGCCGAGGAGGTTGTCAGTAGTATATCAGCAGGCACTGTCTTCCACGGGTGTGTTTTGTTTGCAATACTTAAGTTACAAGGGGGCTCTGAGAGTTCACTTTGCTGAACATTTTGCGTTGATGATATACATATGAGGATTACCAAGAGAAGAAAAGCAACACCATTTGGATGCTTGCCGGGAATGGTTACTAGTGCGTTCGACATTTTACAAATAATACATATGCAGGCCTGCTGGTATTCCAACGTCTTTACTGATAATGAGGGTGTACTTGAAAGTGCATATCCATATAGATTGGAATAATCAACGGTCCGGCAGACAGAATGGGACCTCACGTTTTCATCGTTTAATACAACCCCATAGGAAGTTCTCCGTCATGATAGGTGAATACTGAAACATAAAAGAAATGCTTTTATTTTAATTCAAATCAGTGTGAACAGCTAAGATATAAACATTCAGTTTTTCCTTCCAAATTTTCACTGAAAAAGTACTGCAAAGTTTACACGAGAAGAATTCAAATAAAATATATCCTGTGTTGTCCGATTTAAAGGAAATTGACGGTAAATCAAAGCAAGTTGATTTTAGAATTACATTTTGCATTCCCGCTGAACTAGTTCAAATACCATATAGTATGTTTCATTGCTTTAGAAAATAGAAACCCAAATACATTAATTAGTTTAGGCATTTCCTTGAGGGAATTATTTCAAATTCTAATAGCTTTTAGAATGTTTTGTGGATATATGAAGTGAGAACAGAGTTACTTGTGAAATCCGATGAGTTGCTGGAACCTTCCGCGTTCGATATTTTTATCAATAACATGAAAAAATGCTTTTTAACTTATACAGTTGCGCGCTAGTATTTCAAGTAGTCATGATTCAGTAAAGATGTCGTTTATCATTGCACATCACATGCCATTTAGTTGACATCTATGGTTCATGTGACAGTGTGGTGTGTGTGCGTGTGTTCACTTTCCGAATCCATGCTTATTCCAGACACGCAAGTAACACCACAAGAACAGTTTACTTTAAATGTCTGATCAGACGTCAGATACGTGACAAGCACTCCAGCGGTTATAATTCCTTATTAGGCCCACTCAATAGAATACGAAAGGACTAACAAGTCCATTAGTTCACAATAATACCGGACACAGGATAGAAAGAAGTAGCCAACTGTTTGCTTATACAAATCACGTATTTTTCAGTTCGGATTGCAGCACCTGCGCTTACTAGAATGCAATACAGCCTTTGTCAATCTCACTGTTTTTTTGTTCAGGGTTTTTACATGTCCGAATGAAATAAAAGTGATTCTGATACGTGTTAGCATTGAATGCCAAACATAGGTGTTTCGAGCACCGAACCCTTGGGTATCTGTCCCCAGTTTTGATAAAATGATTGATCATTTCCAATTGTCCTTTTGATGCGTAGAACCAAGAATACTTTTAATGTAAAAAAAAACAGTCATATATATTTGTCAGCAAGTCTAATATTTATCTTATATCATTTTTCCGATAATAGTCAGTTAAACTTGTAACACAATTTTATCTTGACTCTGGTTACGGTTTCAGTTGTGCTCCAGCATTGGCACAATGCACTCAACACCTGGTGACCTCATGTAAACCGCAACGCCCTAAAAGCCGTGGGCATTCGTACTATGCACGCTGTAAAAAGGAACGCAACGAATGAACTTGAGTGTATGTAAATTTTCGGGCTTTAAATCGAGAAACCGGATGTGAGTATTGTTTTGCTTTCGTTTTTATCGGCATTTCAATCTTCAGCTTGAAGCAGTGACCTGTTATCGGATTGCTTTTTGTGAAATTAGCATCGAATGCAACAAATGACCTCTAACTTCCTTTATGAGAATGGTATCACTAGAGTAACATTCAAAGTATAAATGTCCTAAAAAACACTATTGAGCGTTTGCTGTGATCGAAAAGTAAACATGAATACTGATAGCACACCAGCCATAGTAAGCCAGATTTCGTAAGGCGCAACTTACCATTTATACGGAGCAATACATCTATCGCGACACTGATAGAATTTGCATTCGGTTACATTTCTTTCGGTGACAATGTTCTCGTGGAAACATTCCGTGCTGTGTGCGTATCAGACTTGTGACTCGGTATGGGCCAGATCTGATGACTGTTTATGATCAACCGGCAAAAGATCCTTTCCCATTGGTGGACAGTTCATTGGTCAAAATGCTGACCAATCAATGGTGAACAAAACCGTGCCTCAGGGCATTAACCAAATTACCTTTCTGCCAAATGATATCTAGTCTGCAATTAGGGGCAACCGTGTTCTACGTTGAAACAATTACAGTTTTGTATCTGTTAAACTATGTATATTGAGTGAATGATGACATCAATTTTACCAACGGGAAAGAATAGTGCTTGCTTTTCTTGAAAAATTACAATGATGCCGATGCAAATACCAAATACCCATGGGTGATTCATCTGCCGTGTGTTCACAAAAATCACAAACGAAAAGACAACTTTCAATTTTAAATAGATTTAATAGATTGTAATTTTTGAAAGAAAATGTAACTCACATTTCGGGAACTCACGATGCTCGCGCATGTGTTACTACATACTAAGAGATAAAAGATCTATGATGCAAATGTACAAAGCCAATTAATTTCACTTCAACAACCAGCAGATGTTGAAAGGTTTATCAACATTTCAATAGGTGAAAGCATTTGGCGCCTTACGGTGCTTAAAGGGGAGCCGATGGCAGATTACCGTAACAAAACAAGGCGAACACAATGCAATTTTCCTACTGATTATCCTGTTTTATTCTATTGTCCCGTCCTTCCATGAACCATTTTATCTTTCACTGGCACTAGATGTATTCAATCAAGTTGTGGTGCAGCTTGACGTTCATCGCCTTCACTTCAATTTGCTGTAGCCACATTGTCATGAATGCAGACTTCCATAGTAGCATGCGAAAATCATAGTTTACTTCCACCTACTTTCCAGAAATAGGTTTTGCAATTACGGCGAGGAAGATTTTTACGAAGGTAATAAACTTGGACATTTGTTGGTCACAACATTCTCCTTTTTTTGCTTTCTCACAATTGCACTACTTAGTGCCAATAATCTTCTTCACATACTGACGAACTCCGGCGACACCAAAAATGAGTTTTACATCATTCTATTTCCTGTTGGATAAAATGCACTACAAAATCAATGATAGAAAACTTGGGCAACTGTATATTGAGCCACAAACAAAATTTGCAATCTTTCGCACTAAACGACCTACTTTATGATCTAATAAGGGTGAATACAGTAAAACAGGTTTTCTCAAATGGCAAAATCAACGTGGTTCGAGAAAATAAAGCAAAAGCGAAATCAACAGTTGTATTTGAGAAAAATTTAATCTTTTTACCGCAGTAGTTGATGAAAGTAGGTTTACTAATGAACTGTTTCTCACTTCAGAGTAACTGACGAGAACTGGGACTGAGTTTTGAGTTCCGTCCTGGGGGCTACCGTGACTTCTCGTTCATGAGTGTAATTTTGTGTGTAATTTTGCGGAAGCACAGTCTTCATTCGACAAAGAGCTCTTACGCGGCTGAATATGACAATTTTACAGTACATAATATACCGATATTTTGATATTTGTACTATCAACGTTTATTATAACAAAGAGTTTGTGAAAAAAATATGTTATACTGCTTGACTGCATAGTCACTAGTACAAACGGAAGAGCTTTTCCTTTTCCCTCTGACAAAGTATATAAGCAGATAAAAAGGGAACACTGAAGACGATCAGAATGGGTACCTAAAATGTAAATAATCCTTTTAGTTTTTGATTTTCTAGTGAATATCGTCGGAAAGAGGAATCGTAAACCATTTTACAGCTCATGTTTGCAGTTATGGAAAAACGGCGGAAAATCTAAATACTAAAAGATTGACTGAATACTTTTTCATTAGAAAGTAATTATTAAACCAAATACATACAATATATCCCTATCGAATGAACGAAAAGTTCGAAATTTTACGATGAATGTTTTTGGCTTTAGCATTTGACTTTCTGAAACGTTTATCGTAATTCGGAGAATCAGTAATTTTGAGCGTTTCGCTCGCCAGCTGGTTGCCGCCGATCAATGGAATTACCGATTGGCCCCAAACTGTTCATCTTCCATGCGACTACATAACAGACCAGTTTTCACTCAATGAACAGAAATAAAATTTCTGGCTTTATCAAATGGATATTTTGGAAACATGAACATTAGCTCATAAAGTTCACCTCGCAAAAGAAGGATAATGCACCGCTGTCACTGCTATCCATTTTGAGTAGTTCGAAAGCTTTTTCACATGTTTATTCTGTCCCACTAGAGATAGACTGTAGCAAATATGAATTTACGACTTTCAGGTATATATGTGGACTGTTATTAGATGGTCATTCCGGACAAATTTGTGTTATTTTGTCTGGTGAACTTGGATATAGCGTTACCAGTTATCAGTCTGGAGAATGACTGTGAAAAGTTTTAGACAGTAAGTTTTGCTTGTTTAAAGTGTCACCGCTGTAATCAAACAAAACTACATGTAGTCGATTTTTTGTCGGGGGATGGGTGAGTGGAGGTAAAAATCGTTCTGATAGCACTTAGCGTAAGAGGTAAACATTCTGAATATACATGATGAATTTCAAACGGAGACACCAGATCTTTTTTTCCCTCATTACTGATTTTACTTTAAATATGATAAAAGTAAATAAAAATTCGAAGTTATCGAATGTTTACGAGGAAATGGTGACCATCTTTGTACCTAGAGAAGCTGAAATGAGATGTTTTAAAGCTTTTTGAATCGTTTCATATGAGTACTGGAAGCTTTGATTCGATTTCAAAGGGTAAATTCGTTGTTTATGCAGCAGATGAAGAGTGAACTAAAAGGCTAGGTAGCACTAGACAGCTGTTCCGACCTGGTGGGGTCTCATCAGCAGTGCGAATCCATCGACCCA